ATTCTGCTACCACTGTGTACATAAAAGAGTTAAAGCTGAAATAATCAAAGGCCACTGTCTTTGGGGTTTTTCATGCTAATTACACATGGTATTGTTTCCATGGCTCTTGAAAATTCTGTACCTTTTGATAGATCAATGATAGATAGATAGATAGATAGATAGATAGATAGATAGATAGATAGATAGATAAAATTCTTGCTTGTTGTTCATCTCTCTCTCTCTCTCTCTCTGTTTCCCTTCCTGTTTTTGTCTACCTTTTATCCCATTTTGCCAGTGAACTGCTTTAGTGTTTGGTGATGTTTAATAAACATCAAGATACTGTATATTTTTGCTAGCTGGCCTGAATGGCACGTGTGCTTGCTCTGATCTGGATTGACTGGGAGTATGCTGGGTACAAATTAAACTGGAATTTATCTACTGTAATTTTCTGATACTATTCTGTTCATGCTTATTAGCTTCCCTGAAGCATCTTATTGTTTACTGTGAAAAACAGGACAACGGTACAGATTGAATAGGCATTATTTAAGCATGTTTAATGTCTGAGATATAGGTTAAGATGGCTGTGTGTGTGTGTGCGTGCATGCGTGCGTGTATAGAGAGAGAGAAAGAGAGAGAGAATGCCAACCAGAGTCATATGGTTTGAGTTGGGTGACCTTCTAAATCTAGTAAATAAAGAAATAATATATTGCTTCAAATCTGGCAAGCTGATTGACAGATCACTCAGAGAGGGCTACTTCCCAGGTGAAGGACAGAATGCAAGATGTTTATAAACCTTAAACTTCTCCAGGATTAGTTCTTTTTTAAAGACAAAAGCTGCTTCTTCATCAGTTAGACACATCCACATCTGCCAAGCTGCGTAGTGGGTGGAATGAACACAATTTAATAGCCGCTATTCCAGGCTGCTGATAAAACAGCACAGTTGGAATGCTGGGACAGTATTTTTGATTCATTTTAAGAAAAGTGTCTGAAGTTGTAAACACATCTCTGTGTTTCATGAATCTGAAGCTGGACTGATCAAGGAGGAGGAACTCTCAAGTAACAATATTAACAACAACAAAACCTATGTTATCAGAAAATTAAGTGGGTCCACTAAACTATGAAAAGTTACTTTAGGAAATTCTGTGTTATATGACTAACATGTAATAGCTATAAACTATAAAAAAGACTTTTTGTGTTTCTTCTTTCTCTTATGCTATACTGTATCATATATCACTTGGAATTTGTATATTGTCCATATATAAATAACCTTATGGTCCAGTGAAATATGCATTAGATAACCTGGGTTCAAGTACATACCTTTATCAAATGGGGACAGAGAGGGCTTAAAAGTGTAAAAATTATAAAGCAGCTCTACCTGCATTTACAGTAAAAAAGATGAAAAGAGCATCTTAACCTTCATTCAAATTAAGCAGCCCATAGCAGTAGCATTGCTATGGCATCTTTCCCTTCTAAGAGGAGAGTTAGAGCAAAGCAAAGAGTTCTTGGAAGGGTTGGGAACTATGACCAAATTCTACTTCCAAAGCAAAACAAACCAATATTGCATTGTAGCTGGAGTGTTTTGCTAAAATGGAACCAGCTATTAAGCTCGGTGGGTGGCCTTGGGTTAGTCATACATTTCTCATGGTCAAAAGGTTGTGAAGATAAAATGAATGAGAGAGGAATGAACGTGTTTTCTCCCCTTAATTCACTGAAGTGAGGAAATGGAATATATCATATAAAATAGGTGGGTTGTTTATAGTTGTATAGTTTGGGGGCTGTTCCTTAAGCACTTATCATTCCTAAATTCCTGGTTGCACTCTTGTAAAAAAATGGTGACATGATTTCCTGCTATTTTGAATTAGGGAATGAAGAAGCATCTGAAAGAGGCTAACACAGTTTTGTTTGTTTTAAGACAGATCTTCTATCCCCCAACAAATGGACAAAAGTGGAAAACCCATCTCTGTACACATAATACAGCACTGTCCATTTTGTATTTTCACTACACTCACACTGATCTGTATCACTCCAAACCATGCTTCTCCTGACTAGCAAAGGTTATTTTCTCCTATCCTGAAAGTATATATAATTTTGATCTCATTTCATCCCACTACACCATTCTAAAAATTACTTGGTCCTTCCTTAAATCACATGGGATCTGTTTTACTAGATCATTTTACTTTAATAAAATAAATATGTTTGCTAAATCAGATCAAAGATCTGTCTCAATGATACTTGGCAAGGCCAATCATAAAATTAAAAAAAAACAGTTGGATTTTCCAGGATCACAGTGAACATCATGACATAGCAGATTTATAGTTACTTTGATGTCTCAGAAAATTATTGCTTGGATCCCACACCTATCTGATCTATTAAAAGCCAATTCCCCCTCCCCCCAAAAGCCTACAATCAGGATATCCAAAAAACTGTGTTTGATTTATATCCTTCCATTTATTTAGAAATTCAAGAAAGGGTATATGAGGCTATATCCTGACCACGGAAACCTTGTGAGATACATTTGCCTAAAAGCAACAGCCTCAAAGTCACCAATTATGTTTTCATGGCAGAGGGTATGCATCTCTCATACTCCAGGTCCAACTTCTTAACCACTGCATCACTGTGGCTTTCATGGCATTTTTTTGCTATTGTCCACCATAATTGATCTTGATAGTCAGGTCAGTACTGATACTAGGGAAAGCATATGGACAGCCATTGTGATATACTGATATAGCCAAGTTCAGATCCATCCTTGGCCATGGAAGGTCAGTGAGTGACTTTGGGCCAGTCGTTCTCTCTCTCAGCCTGACAGGGTTGTTTTTGTGGAGTGCTTGGTGCTCCCTGGGCTTGGTTGTTTGTTTGCAGACGTTCCATTGCCCAACTAGGTACCATCATTAGTGTGATTGCTGATGTTACCTAGATGTTACCTAGTTGGGTAATGGAATGTCTACAAGCAAACAACCAAGCTCAGGGAGCACCAAGAACTCCATAGTTCAATTTTCAGCTATGTATATTCTCTCCTTCTGGAGGGTTGTTTTCGGGGGGATAAAATTAGAGGAAGAAGCACTGTGTATACTGCCCTGAGCACCTGGATGAAAGTCTAATAAATAAATATAATACTTAAATAGTCGTCATGTTTTGTAGCTATTAATAGACTATTTTTCCTTCAAGTCAGTCTTGAACAAATTCATGCATGCCCTTTTAATTTATCCAGTTCTTTTAAATGCAAATTCCATATCTGTACTGTGTAAAGTGCCTCCATTTGCATGTCCTGATGAATCCAGAAAGTTCTGAGCTAGGATAATGAATGTTATGAAGATGACAAATTATAATTTTATAAAGTTTTATCTCTATATTGAGAGTAGATTTACAATTCTTTAGCAAAACTCTTTTATTTAACACCTCTTTCCTAAAGAAAAAAGCTCTATTTTAGAACTCTTCCTTGCCATCCCAATTTAGAGAACTGCAAAATTATACAAAATAATGCACAATAGCTATTTTTTCCTCCTTACAAGTCTTTTTCTGAAGCCTTTTGAAGGAGCTGGTGGCCTTGGTGACTAACTGGGGGTTTCTGATCCTATTAAATATGTTTGTCTTATTTGTCTTTTTCTCATTCAGGTTATCTGGAATGAATATCCCACCTCCAATTATCAGCAACAAAAACTGGCTAAGGCTTCATTTTGTAACAGACAGCAACCACCGATATCGTGGATTTAGTGCTCCTTATCAAGGTATATTTAATGAAAACCATTTTTCCTCCCTCTTTCAGACCTAGGAATGGAAGGGGGGAGGGGTACAAACAAAATATACCACTCATTCAAAAGGAAGAAAACTTCTTTATCTGTAAGTTCAGACCAGCAGAAACAGGCATTCTCTGCGGTAAGGACAAAACCGCATGAAGCACTAAGGTTTATTTGCTCTGCAAACCCCAAATATTTAAGAGAGATTTGGATCAGAAGAGGAGTGCAGTTTATACTGAACCTCTTCTAAACATTGTGATCCCGTTGGAACATTTAGGCCAATGCTTATTTGTGTAATTGCAGCATGATCAAGCAGAATTATTTTGGTTGAGTAGAATACATTTCATTGCATGCAGTCTCTTTTTACTGTTTATTAACCAGGTTTTTATTTATTAACTTATATTTTCTATGAGCAAATTTGTATGAAAAGAAAAAAAGAGGGTTTCAAAGGCTGCCACAACCATTTTGCCAGTGTTTTTGAGCTTGAAACACATCAAAATGACTGAAATAACCTGATCCAAATGCAAGACACCCTGTTCAGATGTGAAAGGATTAAAAGGAAAATCTATTTTAGGCTTAGATGGGAATTAGTTTGAATCCAAACATTCTGGGTACTGCCAGGGAGTACTAATTATGTATCAGGCAGTATTATTCTTTTCCAAGCCCTCTTCCCCTGCCTTTTCTTTTCCTTTTTAAAAATTTGGTAAACACAATTTGTACAGTTTTGTAAAGTGTACCCTTCAGGGAAAGTTTCTATTTTTTGACATAATGTAATGCTGAGGCTTTATATAATATATATGTTCAAAACTTCAGAATAACTGCAGCTTTATATGTGAATTATTCACATTTACAAGTGCTTTGCAGAATCCCATAACCATGTTGAATTTTAAACTACCTATAAAAGTAAATTTTTCTCATATGGCATAGAATATCTGCAAAATAAAACTACAGAGCAACACAAATTCCAATAAGTATCTGTGAATGTCCGTGTTTGCCCCTTGATAGCCTTTTCAAATTGAAGGTGAAAAGTTATAGACATAAATTATGAACTTACTATATATTCGTCTTTAAGTTGTGTCCCCTATTGAATGCATTTTAAGCGTCAATTGTATAAATGTTATAATTCTACTGAACTCAGAATTATTGTTGATTCTATAGAATTTTATTATTAAAGTAAACTGACAACGTGCATGTAGGAAGCAAAAAGTTTTTAAAGAGTGTCAGGATTTTATATGGCAAAATTCAGGACTCCTTTTGGTTTGGTTTTGAATATCATATGTTAAGTTACATCACATATTACACAGGAAAAATAAATATACTTTTTTTTTAAAAAACTGTTAAATAATATTTTAAAATGTTGTAGATATTTTGATTATGTCCAACATTGCACAGACTTCTGCTTAGTGGGACATCTTGCTATCCTTATTCCTGCAGCTCTTAGTTTCCAAAATCTGCTTTACAATAGTTCCTCAACTCTTTAGAACAGTATTGAAATGTGTGATGTAGAGGTGAAATGAAAAACAGTTCTGATAGATCCATCAGAACTGCCACAGAATTGTGGAATTAATATGAAATGAATAAAGGACAGTATTAATTGATGTGTTTAATAGAAATAGAGATACCTTGAATTTTATTGGACATAAGGCTACCGATTTCTCAACTCATAGGAGAATTGAGGACTGTTTTTTCAGCAGTGACAAGCTGATGAGTGCAAGTCTTTATTTTAAATCTAAAATTATAATATATAATGCAATATGAATTTATGTTTATTTCAATGGACATGTTCTTTTGTACTTCAGGATTGGACAGTAGCTAAGAATAGAACTACTAGCATAAATTGGTTTAATTAGTAGGCTCATCAACTGTGTCTTAGCTGACTGAGCAGTAGAAGGATAATTTTAATCATTCAAATTTAATTAAGATTTTATATTTGCTTTAGTATAATACCAAATGAAAATATATCTTTCCTGCTAATAACAGAAGCTTTGAATTATATTCCAACTATTCTAACTATTCTTTCAAGTTCTTTAAATATTGGAGATATAGCAATATTATAATAAGTTTAGAATATACCAATTAATAATTTTAAAGATAGATAATTAACCAAACTAAGTTCTCTATATAAAGTGATCCCATTCATTTATAACGGTACCTATTTTTTTTAATTAGTAACATAATATAATCAGCTGTTAAATATCACATTTATGCCTGGCCTTGCACCAACATCCATCTTTTCTGAAATGTTTTACAATTTAGATGGGTTGGGCTAATGTTGTGTATTACTTGTTCCTTCTTTCCTGGTTTTTTTTTGGGGGGGTACTCTTTATGGCCAAGTACTTAGCCACACCCAGCTATACCACCGATTTCATCTATCTATCCCATTTGTTCTTTATTCATTCACTTTCATGAGCCACTCATTAGAGAATGCTTCCATATATAGGGAGAAGCAGCCTGATATTCAAACATGCAATTTTTTGTCCTAGATTGTGCATCTACTCTGTATTCATTCCCTGTTATTGGCTCTGTTAGGGGAGGGGTTCATTAAGCTTTTTTTTTTTAAGAAGCAAAACAAAATTATATTATAAAACAAAGGGAAATGATTTATTGTAAGTTAAACTTTGCAATGAAAAAACAAATACATAGATTAAAGAGCAAATAAAATCCTTATAACCAAATGAGATCAGAGGAAACTAAAACAATAACATTGATTTCAAAGATTACAAAGCAATGATGTCCTGGAGCTAAAATATTTTAAATAATACAAGATGTATATTTTAAAATAAATACTTTAAGTAGGTTTTAGCAATGGTGAACTAGTTACAGCACATTTGTTAATGTATGTCTGGTGGTTTTCTCTTTCCTGAAAAAGAATAATAGTGAGTCTATTATGGCATCTTAAACCTTCAGTCTCCCCTTAGTGTTTTTGTATTTCAGTAATACCATTTGAAAGGGCATGGCATTTCAAGTATTTTTCCAGCCCATTTTTTCCCCTTTATTATTTTTATAATGTTAGAATAAACTATATTAGGCACATTCTGCTGTGTTGGGTATTTCTTGAAACAAAATGGAATTAATGCAACATCTGTCAATTGGCACTTCTCTGCAGCTTGGTTGGTGGGCCTCATATTCAGCTGTCCTGCCTTTGCACCACAAAGGTTAGTTTACTGGCTGGGAGAGAGATTATGGATGATCCAACTTTGCTTGGGAAATCCAAGTCTTGCCACAGCGGTCTTCCTGCTGATTTAAATCCATTTTATTTCATCTTTTTCTTTTGCTTCTCTCCTTGCCTACTTCTTTTATCCTTGAGATAAATGAATGTATTTCTCTTTGGCTCCTGCTTTCTGGTAAAGTTGCTATCTGCCCACTTCTCTGTTGTATCATAGTTTTGCTGCCTTCTTACTGAACAGTTGTGTCTTATGAATTAGAAAGAGTGTGTGGATTCAGCTTCCCAGCAAAACATCAGGTTAGGTAGGACTAAGATGAAGATGTAGAGGAAGGAAAAGGAAAAAAAAAAAAGGAGTACAAGTTGGAGAACTGGCATTTTAAGTTTTCACTTGGCGAGCACAAACCAGTATATAGTCTGTATGGTGGAGCTCAAAGACCATTCAGTACAAGAAGCCAGAATACGAATTGCTGCCTTTCTATAGTGGGGCCCCATTGTCTGTCAAATCAGAATAAAGTGGTTCATTCACAATAGCTTTTTCTTGTGATAAGACTGTTGGTTTCTTGCTATGCTACTTTAACATGTAAAGACAGACTATTTATTATCTATACCAAAAATGATATCTTCTAGAACTGAATGAGTGTCTCCTTAGATTAGAAAGACTGTGTCTCTTAAATTATTAAAATATCAAGGAAAGGACAATAGTATGATGCAAGAAAATAATGTGATGAATGGGATATTCAGTTACAGGTGATAGGGCCCAATACAACAAGGTGACAAAATTTCTGGTCTCTGCAGATAGGTGCTGTAGATGATGACAGACAGACAGACAGACAGACAGATAATATTTATGTACTTTTCCTTCTGTGGCTGCATATACTGTATGTTAATCTGTAGATATCTATCAGTAGATCTGTATGTTTAAACAAACTGGAATTAGTACAGAATTAGTACATTTGGTAATAGAACTAAAAATGCATTGGTAGGGCCTACCAATTCATGTTTTATGTATACCAAAGTTTATGCCAAAAATAAATATACAGTATCCAAATATTATTTGGAGTATTTTCCAGAATTTGAACAGACTTTACCAAAAGAAAAAATGAAAAGAGCTGTGATGCATCACCTTTTGGCGAGTGAGCAAGCTAAGGATGGGGCATACAGATAGACAGCCCATCATTGCAATAGCTGTGGTGGAAGGAAGTGGTGGTAGGGAGAAAGAAAGAAAAATAAGCCCTTGGTATGAACCAAGATAGTTATCTTGAATTCACACTTGGTTTAAACATCCAGGAGCTATAATGTTTACTATAATAGATGAATATGGGTACATCCTCTAAAATGTGTCATCACAGAATTTATTATGTTTGCTACTCAACACACCAATTTAGATTTCTTTATTAACATATATCACTTTTTAAGGTGAGTAAAATCCCATGCCCTAGAAAGTTTAATCAGACTCCTCCATAGGTTCTTATTTTCATAGGATCTAGAAGGACGAGTCTTAAAATGGAACAAGTATCCAAGCTTTCCAACTTCTATCTTTACATTTCAAGGACTGGACTTCTATTTAATTAGTTATATCACGGAGTCAGCACTAAAACCCACCTCATACTTTTGTAAGGATGGGCTGTTCACACTGAAGCTTCTTTTTAGGTGATCCTTCCAATAGTGTTTATGTGATACCACATAAAGTAAAATGATTTTTCTGCTCTGTCAAGATTCTCAAAATCTGCTGTCCAAGGTGGCCTTCTCACTATACCTAGTTCAGTAAAGCATGCTTACAAATCCATGGGATCTGTAATGGGAAAGATGGGGCCCACAGGGACAC